TTTAAATCTTATTTATTCAAACCTTATTAAGTGATAAAAAAAAACTCTAAAAATAAACATTCTGAATTACAAAACGTCTGAACGAATCAAACATAAGTAGTAATTAAGAGTTAAAAATGAAAAAAAAACCAAACAAAACCTAATTGAAAAGTCGGTTTATTAGTTCAATGATGTATTTGAAATTTCAATATTGAATTTCTGTGTTATTTTATGTTCGTATCCTTGACGACTTCTTAACGCTTTCGACAAATCCTTACATTATTAATAATCATGATGTGGTCAAGGAGGTGGGTTGGCTAAAAATATAATCTAGTTTTTGAGTCAACACTTGGTATATATAATCAGCAATTTAAAACAAAATTAATGTCATTGAGTCCCATCAATGTTTCTTAATGACAAAATCACGTCTTAATCCACCCTTAATTTAGGGGTCTTGCATTAATTAATTAATTAGTTATATATATATATATAGAGAGAGAGAGAGAGAGTTTGTTTCAAATACAACCCGCTGCATTTGTACAACCAATGCAACCCAATAAATTGATGTATTTATGGAAATGATGAGAGTTCATTTATTATGATTTGAATATTTATGGAAGATGAATATGGTTCATTAATTATGATCAATACTTTATATTATGAAACAATCAAAACTCTTATGAAATCACATATTAATCAAATGAAATAGACGGTTGAGAGTGAGTTGTAATGGTTGCACAAACATCAAGGGTTGTATAATAACCAACATCTCTCTCTCTATATATATATATATGTGTGTGTTTTCGTATATTTCTAAATTATAAGATATAACATACATTGAAGTGAAACAAATTACAACAAAATTACGACAATTTTACAATCCTTAATTTAACATTAATTAAATATACATTTTCATTTGTTTTTCTATGGTTCTTTGATTTTTTTTTTCTTACTAGCGGTCTCCCCAAACCTTTTCCATATATATACAAGAGAGAAATAAAAAAAAAAGATTTTAGTTTTTCATACGATCAAGATCGGATTTGACTGGTTAAACATTGCAGGTTTGACTGTCATAGATGAATAGTTTTGTAACTTTTATAAATAGACGGCAAACGGATTCATATATGAACCCGTATAATTCACATATTAATTATATGTTCATATGTAAACCCATGTAATTCACATATGAACCAATTAATTGATTCAAATATGAACCCTTGTGATTCACATATGAACTAACTAATTGATTAACATATGAACTTACGTAATTTACATATGAACATATAGTTCATATGTGAATCATACTGGTTCACATATGAACTTGTTTTGCCACCTATTTGTAAAAGTTACAAAACTATCACTCTATTATTTGATGCTTCATAGTCAAAGCCATAAATGTTGATCAAATGAAAGACTAAAATCACTTCTTTACTTTTCAAATATTTACCATTTCTCAAATGAATCACTCCACACACACACAAACACACACACACACACACACACACACACATATATATATATATATATATATATAGAGAGANCACACACACACACACACACATATATATATATATATATATATATAGAGAGAGAGAGAGAGAGAGAGAGAGAGACTTGGAATCATGTAACCTTCACAATGTTTTTGCTGTGAAAATTCAACTTTTTTTATCTTCACAACATTTTTGTTGTGAAGTTTCAAGTATAAAATCATGTTTCACGAAAACAAACTTGTATCACGTAAACCCAACCCTGTATGTATGTATGTATGTATGTATGTATGTATGTATGTATGTATGTATGTATGTATGTATGTATATAAGGGAGCGTTCAAATAAAAATCACTCAATTTGTAAAAACCGTGAAAACCTCATTTAACCAATCATAATTTTTCATTTTGTTCATTTTTTTTTTGTAATTATGAGAGGTTGATTAACCATTTTTATTGTGGAGGGTGTTAATCATAGATATTATCATTTTCATTATTTTAATATTAGAGAAAGACATAAAACAGTTTCATTAAAATTTCATTAAGTATTTTATGAAACAATTTTATAATCATATATGAAACAACTTCATAAAAAAAAAAAATTTTATGAAACATTTTCGTAAGATTAAACAATTTTATGAAAAAATTTCTTAAAATTAAACAATAAAATCGACAAATAAATATAAGACGATTTATCCAAATTAAATGGTTTGCATTTGATCGTTCCTGTACACATGTTGGGAGAGAAGTGGGTAGATCCACTCCAACATTATGGTAATAAAAGTAAAGAAAGGGAGATGTGAGTGCATAGATTGGGTGTTGACTTGGTTATGTTTTGATTGCTATTAAAACACATTCAATTCATTAATGAATACAAACTTATTTCACACTACCATCTATGCCTTTTCTTTTTCGCCAATTAAATTTCATCCAACTTTTTAATTTGCGACAATATATTAAATTTCATTCATGATCAAATGACTATTATACCCTTTAATTCAATTCGTAATTTAAAAAAAAATTAAATAAAAAATTCCCTAAAAATTAAAACTGTATTTCCACAAAACTTGACTGATATTTCTTGTTACATATAAAATTTAAAAACACGCATCAAAGACTCGTGCTAAGAGTCATTGTCCTCGCTTATTAGGTAAGACTCTCGGTTTTTGTCTCGCTCTTACTAGGTAAGATTATTGGTCATTGACATATTCATCCGGTAAGATGATGTAACTTGGTTAGCGCTTACCCAAGTAAGCATTTAGTAAACGGCCCGTTAGATCGTTTATCTTGTATATATGTTGAAATCTCTCCTTTCTCCTCAAAAGCTCTTTTAGAGAGTGATATGATGGTTCCACATATTATCAATTGATATCAGAACCAAAGTCTGTCACTCTAGAAACTGATACCCTAATTAACCCTCACTCGACACTTTATGAAAATTTGCATCGATCTGGCCTTTGAGAGTGATATGAGATTCCACATATATCCTCACAACTACCCTTTTACCTTGCGATATTTTCCCGTTTTCAGCGAACACCGGCCCTCTATTCTTTCTAGTCCGAAGTCTTCTTTTGTACATTAACATCAAAATTTTCGGAAGGAGGGCAACAACAACGAACACCTTGCCAGCATATTTTGTGTCATTTTTGTTGACACCGTTACAAGTTTTGTGATTCCTTCAACGTTTTTTATACATAGTTTGATGACCTTTTAAAATGTTCAACAAATTTGATCGTGCAATATCATTTTCTATAACTCTTAAAAATCATTTTTATGTATAAAGTAATGTTTATTGATGCATATTACTTAAAATTCAAGATAACAAGTAATTGTATGCAAGTACAACTTATTAAAGTTGTCTTGAATACGTGTAGCTAATTATAGATAAACATAATCAAATACGGGGTAAATATCTCATTTTTTAAATATAAAAAATCTAAAATATAATTAGGATAATCATTAGTTATAACAAAATACTTGATTATTATCTCTATAAAAAAAATTATATTATTAAACG